TTTGGTAAAAAAACTTATGGGTTTTTTTATACAACATTATTCTTAAGAACTATTAATGATGACAGCCCACGTTATACAAGGACCTGGTGTATGGTCAAGCTTAAATACAGTTATGTTTTCTCCATGATTTAGAGAAAACCAGCCATTTTTTAAATTAAAAGATTTAAACAAACCAAGAAATTCTTCAAAATTTTGAAAATTCGTTGCTTTTTTATAATCAGAATATGTTTTTTTGCTTTCATCGATAGTTTGTGAAAAACGTAATTCTTCGAGTTCTATCAATTTTTCATCTGTACTCTTACGAGTTTAGATATCTTCTGATAAGTATTGAGGACAATTTGGAAAAATTGACGGTATTGCATCGGGTTTTAAATGAGGCTTTTTTAGATTAATTGAAATTGTTTCACCTGTTCGGGAATCTTGGGCTGAGGTGACCCAAATGAGGTGAGAAGGGGTTGAGAAATGAAGTTCACACACTTTAGAACTATTCATGGGATCGAAATTTTTGCGCGGAAACGCTCTCAACGCGACTCAAATAGAAGCGCCATTTACAATAATAATTTCATTGAAAAATCAATTTATTTGCGAATCAGTGGAGAATAGCAAACATGACCGAATCTAACGACTGGCCTGGATAAAAAATGAAATTGTTATAAAATACCATTTCTTTGCTAAGAAGAGGATTTGTTGGACAAGTAAATACGGCAATTTCTCGTGTTTTTGGTGCTAACAAGTGATAATCGTGATATTAATAAACTGTTACACTTAAAAGAAATCGTGCGAAGTGGTTTAATTTGCAGAAATTTTGAGAAAATCGGCAAGAATTTTCCTAACTTGTACAGTTTTGCACGATTGTAAACAGGGACCAGTGGCGTGAGTTGTTTTGAATTTATAAGCTTAGAGCCATGTTGTATACATTGTTGACTAATTTCGGTGTAGTGTAGCGCCCTGTAATTTTGTTGCAACCAGGGCCGTAAAAGGGTTTTGCGTTAAATAACCGGCAACGTTGTATAAAAGGTTTGCTCTCGACTACAGCGGCCGAACCGATTTGTCATCACGCTATCCAGCAATATAATTCGTTTAAAGTCTTAAAAAAGTGCGTCTTATTGAAGAGAAACAAATCCGATACAGTCCACTAAAAACGAGGAACATAATTCCTACAAGCCATATTCGATCCCTATTCCATAGCTATCAAATGCTAAAAAAATTTGCGTTACTACTATAGCGTTTATAATTTCAAACAAATAATGTAGAGAAAAAAAGGTCAGAAAATTAATGAATCTTTCATGCTTAGAATAAACCGATTAATACAGATTTTTACCACGCCTATGGCCAGCAGCCAGGCCAGTTGATTTTTCGATTAATTCTACTCTTTGATCGGTACCTACTTTATCCCTACCACTTGTTTTTCATTGGTAAATCGCCGATCGGTAGAATTTAATGTTGGTCCCAAGCAAATCGGGATTTATGAATGACTAGCTTGGTCTATTTATTAATGTCTTTGGTATCAAGAGAGTCACGCTTTTCCGGCTACGGCAGACAGTCCGAAAAAATCAACAGTTGTAACATTTGAAACGAATACAAATTTATCTGCTAAAACCAGCCGAATCTGCGTGCTTTCCACTGTCAAAACATTTTGTGTATAAATTAATCTCAATTTCAGTTATTTTAGGTAAAAATGTAAAAAAATTAGATCCAATTTTTCAAAAATCGCACCCATTCTAGTTGTGCAAAATTGATGTTTTACCGCAAATCTACAAATACATCAGCAATTTATTCATATTTTACGGCTTGCCATTAAACTGCCCCCCAAAATGATTCGAGAGTTTCGGTCAATTAATCTGCCGCCAAAAAATACATGTACTGATTTGAAATTAATCGTGAATAATTTACATCAAAAACCGGCAATTTTCATTATTATTTGAATCATTTATTGGTAAAATAACGCGACATTCACTAAATCAGATCTATCAAATGTTGTTAAAGCTGGTGAGTTTTTCAATTTCCTAAATTGGAGGGTTCAGGTTGAACAGGCTTCATTCATTAAACTAATGAGCAAATTTTGTTAATACTGCAAATTATTACAGCTTAATCAACAGTCTATTGCTCCATTGAAAACGTCAACTTTGTAGGAATAAGGAACAACCTGATGTAGAAGCATAGAAAGCAACCAATGAAAAAGCAGAGAACAACGCAAACAAACCAAAATAAATTGAACACTCAAATTGCGTACACGAAGTATGTACCTAAGTGAGAAAATAATAGCTGAAGACGAGACCCAAAACTAAAAACAGCCGGAAAACAGTAGAGTAATCATAGTAAAACTGCTAATAAATTAAGAAAATATCAATGGAAAAATAAAACCGCATGTCAACCCATAGACAAACATCCGTCGACTAAAATGAAAATAGTCTGAGCAAAAACGCAAAAATTGACCAAAAGGAAACTTAATTTGAGACGCAATCGTATAAACGGAATTAAATATAAAAAAGCTACACAATGAGCAAATTTTCCATTTTTCAAATCCTGCAAATTATTGCAGCTTAATTAACATTCTGCTGATCCATTGAAAATGTCAAGTTTGTACGAACATTTTAAACGCTGAAGCAAAGCTTCATTGGCGCATTGTGGTGGCATGAAGAGTCATTTTGGCTGTATAGGTTCATACAAATAAGCGGCGACCATCAAAATAAATAACTCTCAACTTTTCCTTTACAGCAAATCGCGTTGTCCTCTTAGAATGGCCATAGTCGGGATATTGCATTCTTTGCGCAATTTTTGCTGGACATTCCAAGGCACCTAATGGGGTCCAGGACGACCGACGACAACGCAAAGCAAGATTTACGATTACCACTCGAAGCTATGTCGCAAAACTTAGCAAAAACTTAGAACAGCTTAAACGATTCCAGCAGAATAAAATATGCAGTTACTGCAGGTTGTTGTTATTCGATGCATATTTATTCGATTGACCCTTGTTTCATCAAGCTGCTGGTTTCGTTTCGTCGAAAAAGAATCCGAAAACATTTAAACGAATTTTAAATTTTCGAATCCGGCTACGTTTTATGTTTGTGTTCGGCTGCCCGACAGAATAAATATCTTCAACCTCAAACAGCTGAAACAATCTAAAATGCAAATCTAGCTAGATAAAAAGAGGAAATAAATACGAAAGCAAACAACCAGCAAACAATATGTTTAAATTCCCCAAGCTAAACGCAGACTTATGTTATCAGTGATGGCGTGTATGCGAATTTAAAAATCCCAAGATCAGCCAGCATTTTGACAGGAAATGTTTGCCCAAACTGGAACAGGAAAATGCAATTTTGCTAATCGGGTTTAGCTGCATTCTTCTGCCCCAAAAGTCCTGCGTTATGATGAATTTGAGTCCAGAAAACTGGAAATTATTGCTACTGAAAATTGAATTCCGTAAAATCTCCTTGAATACAAAGGCAGCGATAAGTGGCTAGCGTGATTCCAGTTCAGATTTTTATTCGCCAATAAATTGTAATCACGCAGAATTAAAGGGAAGCAGTAAATTAACATAGATATTAACAGGAAGCGATAAATCCGGAACTTGTGCCAGAAAAGGAAAGTTTCATTCCTGAGCCACATAGTGAAGAATCAATGTGGGGAGAAGGTAAATTGTTTGCAGACATGTCACGAAATCATGCAATATTTTGTTGGAAAATAAATGAAATTGGCCTAAAACATGAAATTGTTTTATTTTCCGAGCTGACCTGATACATTTAAATTGAATGTAGTACTACTTTCCAGGTTTCAGCCCTAAAAACTTGCCAGTCTCCAGAAACATTGAGTTTTTTCGGCTTTTAGCACGTCAGGAAGAAATTATTCTGTTTTAGATAAAATCGAATGATTTTATCAGATAATACTAACTTATATCATAGTAGAAATTAGCGATTTTAATATACATTTTTGGCGACTAATTTCCCATCTGTATATTTTTTGGCAGATTAATTGACCGAAACTCTCGAATCATTTTGGGGGGCAGTTTAATGACAAACCATAAAATACGAATAAATTGCTGATTCATTTGTAGATTCGCAGGAAAACGTCAGTTTTGAACAATTTGGTGATTAAGTGCGATTTTTGTCAAATTGTAACAAATCTTTAATGGTCTTTATCTGAAATAAATGACGTTGAGGTTCATTTATTCAGAATGTCCCGCAAACCAAGAGTGCCCATGCCCAAAAGAATAACAAGAAGACTTTGGCTTAACTTTTATACCAGGAAACGGTCTGGCTCATTTGCTATGGACGGTGGAACTTCTTAAAAAAAATGGAATTTTTTACATATTGAGCGAATGGTAGGCGCCATGAATTTTAATGAAACTCGCTTATTTAAGACCCATGAAGCAAGCGAGTTTATCCGCTTTGAACAAGTGAATATTTCTTGAGCGGTTCAGCACAAAAACTACCAGAACTTTTATTTGGTGGCTAAAATGAACCGATTTTTTTGAGCTGATGAATTCATCCTCTCTGGAGATTTTTGTCTTCTTTGCAAAATCTTCGAGCATTCACAGTTTTTGCCCAAAAAACTCATTTCTGCTCTCTTACTAACTGACAATTTTATATACATTCACAAAATCGATTTTAATGAAACTTGCTTGAATATGTTTCTGCGCCAGGCTATATTTTTCAATTCCGAATCCAAACAATTTCTAGTTTCTGACCGACGTTTTGCAAGCACGAATAGGGTACATCTGCAGGGTGATGCTGTGTCGAGCAAAATTCCTTTTGTGCAGAGAAGCCACACAAAAAAACTTCTCATGGAAAGCATTCCTTATTTTCAATTTATTATGCAACTACTCTTTGTAATTTTGCGCTAGCGTTGGTGGGTACCTACTGTGCGCAAAATATTCACTTTTCACCCGCAAATCCGTGTAGGAAAATCCTTGAACCGCACGTTTATCAAAAAAATACCTTAAGTACATACGCGGTAAATAAACAGCAAACGAAATCTATTTGATTTTCGTATTTACTTACCGGCAACAGAGAGGCAAAACAGGAAAGTCAATATGGGCGGCCACAAAATTTTCCTTCTTGGCATCTTCGAACCCTTTGGGAGAAGTTTTCTGAAAATGAAGGCAACATTCAGGTTACTCATTACCTATGAATCTTAGTGAAGTGCTCAGACAGTTGAACAACAGTCACCAAATTGATTTTGGGGATGTTCATTTTTTTTCGGCAAGTGCTCGAGATGGATTTTCAATATTCACATTTCCCTAATCAATAAAAGGGTCTGACGGAGAAGACGCTGTTTGTGTGTTGGGTAGAATGGACATCTTAAACAATGGGCCGATTCATTTAATGAAATACATCGCTTCCGTTATTGTTCGAACCAGCGCGTTGCTTACGTAAAATCAAATTGATGCTGAGGGGAGGAAATTTAATAAAAATTCTGGAAACGTTTGTTTGCTTCTATTTTCAATTAGCCAATATTGCCGTTTTCCTCTAAATCAGTGTAACAATCACTTTTAGTAACCTTCCTTGAAGGCAACTCATTTACGTTGTTGAGAGAACATTATCAAATAAATCTTGAGATAAATTTAATTATTTTCTTCCTGGTTCCAAGGTCCGAAACCGAAATTCTGATGAAAACAAAATGAGATTTTCTTGCCAAGTCTTGCTAACAAAAGCCATCCTGCTAGAGATTACAAACTGTACATAATAGGCACGCCTAATTAGAATAAATCCTCTACAGAAAAACTTTAATTAAGCATGACCGCAAACACTAACACTAATCACCGCGGCTTTGTATAATATCCAGGCTCTAGCCGTCCAGTTTCCGCTTCATGTCTCTAAATTATCTGGAAATAATTTATTTCCCTAGAGCGCTAATCGATTATTTTGCTCTAGAAAGTGCTGGATAGCGACCAAGAAGCACGATTTTTGTCGCTGAATTTATCCAGCCAACGGAGAATGTTGCAAACGACGGATTTGGAAATGCCATTGAATTTGCACATCAAAGACAAAAAGTTAACGAGAACTATAAATTTAACAGGTCAATGTAATGCATCGAAAGGTGATATAACTAATTTGCATCAAAGCGAGCTAACAAGAATTAAGCAAAACATTTCAACAATTTGCCTAAAAAACAACTAGATCCAATTAAGCGTAAAATTGCAATTGTGTATGCGCCAGTCGAAATCATTATGCTAATTAGTTGAATGCAATTATTGCAACGTTTAGCGAAGTGACAATTCGGTTAGGATTATTGGCCAATTGCAGTATTGCCACGTAGCGAAATAATGATGAAATGGGATATTTTACTATGGCCAATTTCTCTAGAGGCTTTTCTACCTGTCTTACAATATTGATATAATTTGATTAAAAGCAAACCTTCCATTTCTAATATTTATCCGAAAGGTACAACGGACCAAATGGAACAAAGACTAATTAATTAAACACTAAGCAATCAAAGCAATCTTTGATTCAATGAATCTTACACACTATTAATACAAAGGAAGTTTGTAATATTTAGTAGAATTCCTGTAATGTGACCATTGATTTTGCTGGGAAAATTTGTGCAAACCGCAATGCGATTGGCCGGAAAAAAACTTGTCGGAAAGTTTTATTAAAAAAACTTACAGTTACCCCAAGAGGGCATTTTTATGTTCGTGACCTGTCGACTGTTTGGAAGTGCGAATTTATCACACTAAATGTTTTCAGACCCACAACTTCACTTTGGGACATTTTCCATACTCTGCCCAACCCTGAAAGTTTAAATTGCATTTTTTCCTGTTTAATGTTTCACGTCTCGAAAAAAAATTGCCGACGAAACACATTATTACTTCTCAAGTAATCCGGCTGATGTAAACCTTGTAACATTTTATTTCCTTTCCCCAATACCGAACAGAATGTATTTGAAACCAATCCATTGGAACAGGAAAAATGAAGAAAACGCTGCCGAAAGCAAACGAACATTTATGACTTTTTTCAGTGCTTCGAATAGCGGATTTAACAACTGGCATTGAAAGGAGGAACGCGAAAAGCCATGCGAGCAGAATGACATTAGATTGCAATACGTGCAACACAAAGTTTGTCTTTCCAGTTTAACATTTCATGGTTGCGTTATATATCGTTTCCTGCTTTTAGGATAAATCCAAGCAATTTTCGAACAGCCGAATAAATTAAAAGAAAAATGGATCCGCTCTCAGGAGCTGAGACAATTAAAGACCCGAATCTACTGAAAACAATAAATCCATGTTTCACTTCAAATAAGAGAGCTTATTCAATTTGACCACAGTATTATACGGTCAGAGGAATAAAATATGTAAAGAACGCCAGAGCGCGGCATGTCCTTTATGTTAAACCGATATTTAAATTTCTAATACTTGACATAATTCTTCTTTAAAACTATAAAAGCACTCGGTCCGCGTTTGATATATGGGCATTATCCGAATATGAATTTCAATGGTTTATAAAAGATTCTCATGTAGGAAAATAACCAAGAAAATTTAGGGATGGCTTAATAAATGAATATTCGATTACGAGCATGCGAGAGGAAAAATGTAAATTTGAAATTCAGGCAATACGTTTTCTATCAAACTGTCACACACAGCAGAACATACATTTTCCTTTGAGCTCAAAATGTTTCATAACCTGCTGGCGCATGACACAAATTTTACTATTTTTTGTAAAAATTCTAAATTTAATCACGTGTCTTATATTTGCTTTGTGCAAATTATGTCCCTAAGGAACGAATACATTTTTATTTCATAATCTAATGGCGTATGACACATATTTTATAAAAACCTATAAAATAACTAGATCAAAAAAAGTGCAGAAATTAATCACCCATTTTCACCCTCCGAAAATGCAAATAACTCGTGCCTGCGAAACGTCAGGAAAATTATTTCAATCACAGCCCAGCAAATAATGAGTTTCTTATCAGGCGTCAAGAGTATCTAAAAAAAATTCAGAAGCACACCGGAAAAACTTCGAAAGTTTGAAATTCTAGAATTGAATTTTTGGAAAACTATAAATATTTGCAGAAATTAATCACGTGTAAAAAGGAAACCAATTGGTAACTAATAACGTGACTTTGAAAAGTTATTTGAACATAAGTATTTTTATTCCATAATTTAATGGCGTATGACCAAAGAAATTTTATAAATGCTGTCAACGAACAATTTGAGCCAATAAGTTTTCCTTTCAAGCCACTTTGTCTGCATATGCTTTCAAAATACAAATCCATGCTGGATTTCCAATTAACGGACCCAGTAAATAACAGCTGAAATTCGCTGTTCCATTTGTTAACCAAATTATATACAAAATGTCTTTTGCTGCTAACAGTATCAAAATGCAATTGCAAGTTAATATACAATAATTCCGTAATTCCATATTTGTAGTTATTATTATATAGCATTCAGCAAAACGCTATATTATTGATACGTTAACAATTACTATTAATTACCTCCTGCTTGTTACTGACTCGATGGTATTGTAGAATTAATAATTTACGTATAATCAGTACAATTATAGTTGTTTCAAACATTTGCATACACTTCAGTAAGGATTGAAGACGCCCAATTAATTAGCTCTGAATACTTTTTGTTATTTATGCGAAATTAGTTTATATTTAAATACACTTGAGTATGCGTTTAGTTTTACGTGAACCGATTGTGTGCCCCAATATTAGATGTCAGGTCTACAGGCCCAACGGTAACAAAAACGAGAGGCGTTTTCATCAAATTAAATTTAGGAGCACAGGCGCCCAAAAAAACAAACACTGTTCATTTATCACATAACATTTTAACAACACCCTATTAAAAGGGAACTGGAACAGCACTAAGGCTCCATTATTTTTCTTTTATAATTGGAAGTCGACGCTTCCAATTTATCTATAAACACGGTTACACGATATACTGAAGATGCACCGTTTTCGATTAGCTAACTTTCTCAACAATCTGTTCAGCCCGTTTTTCAACAATGTAGATTCAAGGCTACAGACAGTAAATTGCAATTTCTTGCGAAAAAACATACATTTTAATCCCGCTGACAGGACAGATAAATTCGATTATTTTCCAGCATCAGCCGACTGATTATTCACTCAATACTTTGTTATTTCCACTGGTTTTTATTTGGGTGGCTGACAAATCCGATTTTTCATTCACATTCAAGTCACAGATACGGAATATTTGAAGCGCCGAAATAAAAAGTTTAGATTTTATTCATGAGTTATTTGAGTTTTGCTCCCAACGTTGGATAACTTTTGGGAATAATAATAGATATATCTTGCAGACATCAGACCTTCCATTGCGTGGAAACGAACAGGTTTGCTCGACATATGTCGATTTAAAAATGTTTTCGAACCGTCTCGTTCTCCTAAAAATTGAGCAACAACAGGGAAATGTGAGCTCTCAAGAGAACGGTTATATTTTCCGTGTTCTTGCTCAAGTGTCAATTTCCGGAAGATTTTCTGTTAGTTATGGCCAAAACATCGCTTATATTCAAGCTGGGATAAGCGCGGGTCAATATTGTTGGGCTAAATTAAACTAAAAGCAAATTGATATCCGGTTTGGGTCGCTCTTGGTCAAGCTCGTATTTTAGAAGTTTGATCACTGTTTGTTTTGTGTATATTCGCGATGTTTCATATCTGAAACTACGCTGAAACATAATTCTTCACAAATCAGGAACGATTTTTGTCGCAAAAAAACAATGTTTTTCTGTTGTTGACGAGGCTTGCAAAGTTTCTCACATGATTCAATGACATCCAGAAAAATTTTGAAATTGTATATTCATGCTTGGCACTTTTCCGTAGTCACTGAAACACAAAATGGAAGCAAGTTTCAACTGAACGGACGGAATTTTTCGAAACACAAATACCCAACTCCTGTTCTGGCTTCCTCATACGCTAAATGCAATATACTGCACCGAAAATAGGATACCTCAAAGAATAATGCATTAAAACAAGAAAACCTTATCTCGAGCACATAAATTTCTAAATTCCCTAAAAGCTGGCCAGGTATAAATTCGTGTCCCGTAAATTCTGGCTGCAAGTGAACGAAGAACAAATAAACTGTGGCAGCATCTACTTGTGACGGCATTTTGAAGATAAGTGAAAATCGAT